TTGTCCAACCTTATCCTCTGAACAATCCTTAAGGTACGTAGATGAAAAAGTTTAGTATTACACCCATGGCAAAGACAAGACAGCCCAGGGAGACCAATGATATACCTACAGTCATGTGGACATCTGTCAGAGCCATGATGAAATCTGAGTTTACGAGGCTCTGGCTCGATGCCACTCATCCCACACTGTCCCACTTCACGGCATGGATGATCAGTATTTCCACTGAGAAAGAATTAGCCATTTGTGCTTTGAGATTTTAATGTAAATATATTTTTAAAAGTAAAGTAAATGCAGTCTCAAGGTCTCAAAATTTTAGAAAATAATAAATAAAATGACCTCTGGCACCTCACCTAGTTTTCACGTAAGATGGTTTTTCAAGGTAGAACTCCTAGGATACATGAAAGGTTTTGCTTTTTATTTGGCCAAAATATGCTTCTCAAAATTTTCTAGAAAATGTCTAGAGGGGCCAGGAGGTAGCATGGTGGTTGAGACACTAGACTCTCATATGACCAACTACAGTTCAAGTCCCAGACCTGGCAACTTGCTTTCTCGTTTTCCCTCTTTCTGTGTTTCTCTCTCCTGAATGCACATGCCATATAGAAAATTTAATAATAGTAACAAATACAGTAAAATAAATAATTCTTTAAAAAGGGGAGGGCACGAGGTGACATAGTGGTTAAGGGGCTAGACTCCCACATGATTGACTGCAATTCTAGTCCCAGACTTAGCAGCTTGCTTTCTCACTTTCTCTCTCACTCTCTCTGGTGAATGCATGTGCCCTATAGCAAGTTTAAATAATAATAATAAATAAATGAAATAAAATAAAAAACTATTTAAAAAAATAAGAAAATTTCTAGAATCCTTAGCATTGCCCATATCTCTGCATTGCAAAAGCCACCAGAATGCATTATATACACAGTACATTATATACGAGTTAAATACAACTTGTTTCATCATTTGATTGTAGCAACCGTCCAATTGTAAAGAATGCTTACATTGTACATGAACAATTGGAATTTATTGTTAATATGTCAGCTTGGGAAAAATCAAGAATTTAGAAAAAACGAGGACTTAAAGCCATTTTTTCAATTTATTTTCTCAGCCTCAGAATAAATCAATTTGCTTCCTATGAGAATAGGAATAGGAATATTTTATATGGCTGATCTTTTATGATTTTTTACTCTCTTGCTCTTCAGATAATTTATACTAGAAATAATCAATAATGGGATAAATATTGGATTTGAAATGCTTTGTGTTTAAAGGATTTACAATTTTTAAAATTCCATGTTATTAAATGTGTCATGTTACTCATGGACATGCCTAAAGCTGTTCCTTGGGACACTGAATCTCTTAAAATGCCACTGGAATTTCTCTTTAGATGTGTTGTAATTGTTAGTGATTAGTATCTGTCTGAAAAGTTAGAAATGCAGTTTTAACCATAATTAGGCCATATTTTCAAATTGCTCATTCCAAGCATTGAGTTGAATGTGTGATAATCTTAAAAATTAGTATAGCTCAGGACCAGCAGTTAGCATAATGGCTATATGGCTGGACTCCCATGTAGCCAACTGTGGTTGGAATCCTGGACCCGGTGGCTTAAACTCACACCGGACGCATGTGTGTGCGTGCCCAAGATCCCGAGAGGAGAATGGAGGAGAAGGGATTACGGTGTGGCCATTCCCCCAGGGAGGGTGATTTCTCACTTTCTGTCTCTCTGTCTCTCTCTGTCTTTCTGGCAAGCGCATGCGCCCGATAGCAAAAACCTCTCAAAAAAATTAATATAGCTCTGTCCATTTTTTTGAGCAATTCTTTAACAAAGGGTAACTAAAAACTGTGTTGCATCTAAGAAATAGAAACAATGGAATATAGGTCTTGTCCTCAAGAAACTTATACTTCAGTAGCAATGAAAATGCAGGGAAGGAGGGAAGGAAGTAAGATCTTTGAAAGCGACACAAGTAAAGTGGCCTGGAACAGGGCAAAGATGGCCATCACATAGGCACCACCTATTAGGCTCCAGTGCCACCAGGAATATGTGTAACCACCACTTCACTCAACTTGTGACAGTGAGAAGGAAAATCAAATTTATTATAAAATTAGAGACTGTCTTGTTATAACTGTGCATAAATATACATGTAATGGGCTCATTACAATTTTCTGGACTCCAACTGTGGTAGTAAAATCATTGGATACAAGCTCAGCTGCTGTTGCAGGGATCCAAGATAATAGAGGCTGAAACAAGAGAGGCATTTATTGCCCACTGATGTGAAAGTACACGTTGGTATTATAGGGCTGGTAAGCAGCTCCACAATTATCAGGAATTGGGACAAATGCTCCTTCCCTTTATCACTCTGTCTTCCCCAACACTCAACACATGGCTTCTTTTTGGTGGTCAAGATGGCTGGTCCAGATCCTAAGGTCAGGTCTGCATTCCAGCCAGAAGAAAGAAGAAAAAGAGATGAGGAGGCATGGTCCTTACCTTTAGGGACACAACTTCTTGGCCAATGCATGCATTATTTCCTCTCATATCCACTGGCTAAAATTTGATCACAAAGCAAGGGAAACTAATCCATGTAATCTTAGCCTGTCTAAAGCCATGCGTCCAGCTGAAACTTCTAGTATAAGGTGCGAAGGGGAGATTGGCCACAAGAGGACAATCAGCCGAATCCACCACGAATAGTAACATGCTACCATCCCCTCCTGCAGAGCCCAGCTATTTGTGTGAAATGAATTCTTACTGCATATTACTAGGGCTTTTGTTTTCAAGACGTAGACCAGAAATGTATCTTGGATGGTTTCAACAATTAAATGAAGATTTCTCACCTTGTCAAGTACAACTCATTTACAGTTAAAAACTAACACCTTATGCTTAGCTAGTCAGAGCCAAGTATAATTACTTTGATTAAGCTTGTCACTGAAATATCAAGACAAATGTTCTTAAAACATGGCACTTTCTCCTGTTGCCTCTCCCCGCCCCCCCAATCCGGTTTATTTACAATAAAGAAAAAAAAAAGTAGGTTGAGGGATGGAGTTGCAGAAACTGATCCTTATAACTGCTACTCTGTATATCACATAACTGATTACCAAATGCTGGAGAGAAAAACATGTCTGAAGTGCATTAGTATAGACTGCCTTCGCCTGGGTCACACTGAATAATTAATTACAGTATACAGTTCACACTGGTTTGAGAGTCTAATAAAACTAATTTCAGCAAGTCTGTTTACCCTTCCTCAAAGAGCTTTCTTCACTTCCTTAGGTTTGACTTGGACTTGCTACATCTCCAAACCAGAAAGACTGAATTTTCCTTTCATTTTTCTTGATAGTCTCTTTTTTTTTTTCTTTTATTCTTTTTGAGAGAGATTTTTGCTATAGAGCATGTGTGCTTGCCAAAGAGACAGAGAGACAAAAAGCGAAAAGTCACCCCCCCTTGGGGGATGGCCTCGCTGCAATCTCTTCTCCATTTCTCTCTCGAGATTTTGGGCATGCACACACATGTGCCCACCGTGAGTTTTAAGTTGCCAGGTCTGGGACTTGAACTGTAATTGACTATGTGGGAGTCCAGTGATGTAACCATTATGCCATCTGCTGGTCCCTTGGTAACCTCTTTCTAAGAAAATTATTTGACATAATAGCTTTTAAAATGCATGATTTAATGACTCTATTACATACCTTTTTTTCATATAATAGACAACAGATAAGCTGTTTTTTTGAAAACCAGATTCTATTTTAGAGTCCCTGGGCAAACTTGCTATTTAATGGAATCTGATCATCCATTTGTAGAGAGTATGACTCATTTGTAGGAAAAGTAAATCATCTAACTGTTTCTAATTTATAACTGTGGGTTTCCACATGACAGATCTGCTGACAGCTAACCTGCAAAGAAAATTATAGCACACAACTGCTCTTATAAAAATAAGTGGAATTATAAAATTAAAGAAAACATTGTTTAAATGTCTGACTCTCATTTTGCAAATGAGGAAAAAGATGTCCACAGTTAGAAATATTCTTGAAATTACAACCAAGTTCATGACCAGAGACCAGAATCTGGAACTCTCCACTCCCAGAGAAGAGCACTTCCTGTTGTAGACCTTGACGATAACGTAAGATTTCTAAGTGGAGTAAACACTGGTGCCCTTGCTCACCAGATTCGCTCATTAAGTAGCCAACTTCAGATAAGCTGAAGCATATATACACCATATTGATATCATTGTATATTAATTGTATATTCATGTCATTAAGAATAAGGTGGTAATCACTAACAAAACAAGAGGTATCGGAAAACCTTCTCAGCTTTTTCTTTGCTTCCTTGATCTTTTCTACTTTGGTTGTTTGTTCTCTTTATCTAAATTTGTCTTTTCTCAAAGCTTTTTAACTTTTTGATGTTTTATGCAACTGATTCTTCAACTCTTGAGTGCCGTTGGTCTCCATTTAGGGCCTGATAAAATAATGTTAATAATGCTAATAACTGTAGTGCACAAGGTAGCTTGTATTCCTTTAATAACTTTTTTGTGCCAGGTACTTTTATATCACATAAATTATTTCATTCTGTCCTCATGTTGATTCTATTAGGTACATAATATTTTTTAAAGAATTAATTATTTTATTTATTTATTTATTCATTTATTTTAATTTGACCAGAGAGAGACAGAGAGAGAGAGGAAGCGAGAAAGCAAGCCACCAGGGCTGGGACTCGAACCACGGTCAGCCATGTGGGAGTGTCCAGCGCCTTAACCACCCCACCACCTTCTAGTTCCTAGTACATAGTATTATGTTCCCCACTTTACAGTTGTGGAAACTGAGGCACAGAACATGCAAGTCATTCATACAAATCACACGGATAATACATAATGGAGTTATGGTTTCAACCTATGTTGTCACTCTATTGGCTATAATGAGAAAATAATGATATATTTCATAACCATATTTTCAGGAGATAGTGTGGCCTAATGAAATATCTGGGGTCTGGAAAGTTTACAGTCTTTTTTCTTTCTTTTTTACCTCAGTCCAGAGAGCTGAGCTAATTACACTCCTCAGTTTGGGGCACATGACCCATGCTAGGCTCCTACAGGTATGTGTAAGCATTCTTTCAAACCTTCAGCTACTCACTCTATGTAATGTTCTTACTTTAAGAAATTACTAAAATGTATCATTCAGTTTGATTAAACAAAGAATATGTGTGGACTATTGGACCGTTATTGGCAGATACTGGCCTTTCTCAGATAACATTGTTATAGTTTTACTACTGAGATATTCATGACTTCCTTAGTCTCCTCCCTGTGTGCAAAATATCTCACTACAAGTAACAGGAAAAAATTATGTTAAGCTATCACTGCTTTTCTTTCTTCCTTTGGGCATTTTGAGTGGGCCGGTTATGCCCTATAATCAAAGGAAAACACAAACTGGTCTCCTCCTAGCAACTCACAGAAGATTCCTCCCAGGGGATAATTTATGTGGCCGTGTGTAAGTGCATATAACTTTTTAAGTCTGAAGCGAGTAGAACACAAGGCATGAACTCTTGTGTATATATTCTTTTTAATTGACTTACAATACTCGTACATATTTATAGGGTACAGTGTGACTTTTCAATACATGCATACAATGTAAAATGACAAATTTAGGACAATAAACATATCCATCATTTCAAGCACTTCTTATTACTTTCTTTCATGACTATTTGAAGTCCTCTGGGTATTTTGAAATGTGTAACAAGTTATTATTAACTATGCAGTACTGGGCTTTAATACTCTAGAACCCTTTTTTATTACCTACTTGCATTCTTGTGTCTGTTAATCAAATTCTCCCCCACCTCACTTTCCCAGCTTCTGGTAGCCACTATTCCAATCTTTCAACTTCCACTAATGATTTAGAGCATTTAGTTTTTCTCTTTTAATGCCTGACTTATTTTACTTATGATACTTTCCTTCAAGCTCATCCAGGTTGCCTCAAGTAACAGGATTTCATTCTTTTTTTTTGTAGCTGAATAATATTCAGTCGTGTATACATACAATATTTTCTTTATACATGTATCCATGGGTGGAAATTTGGGTTAATAATTGGGAAAAGGCAATCTCTTCAATAAATGGTGCTGGAATATTTGGATTTCCAGATGCAGAAAAAAGAAACTAGATCCCTACCTCTCACTATATACAAAAATCAACTCAAAGTGGACTAAACTCTCAAACAGAAGATCTGACACTGTAAAATCACTAGGAGAAAACAGGAGAAATTCTTCAGGACACTGGTATTACCAAAGGATTTTCAAATAAAATCTCAAATCATGCACAACAAAAGCAAAAACTAGATAAATAGTATTAGGTCAAACTAAAGAGCTTCTGTAAAACAGGAAAACAATCAACAGAGTGAAGAGACAACTTTCAGAATGGAAGAAAATATTGGCAAGCCATTAACTCTTCAGTATCCTATAAATACCATATCCCATTTTATGGGACATTACAAAAAGAATGAGCACTAAAATGTCTCAAGCAGGAGCGGTTTTATGTGAAAGAGACTAAATAATTGGAGAGGTTTTGTTATTATTGTTATTTTTTCATTTTTGTTGTTAAAAATCTAATTGCAATTAAATGTCACTAGAAATCAATGTCATCTTGCTACTCTGCTGTTTCCCTCTCCTGAAACCTATTTTCCACCTTTTCCATACAAAGAGACACATGTCACATATGGTTGGGCTGAGGCACAGCATCCTCGCCTTCCTTGATGTTTTCTCCCAATGGGCCTCTTATCTGCCCCCACAGTCTGGTATACTGGTGAGACCAATCAATCAAAGCAGCTCCTACACAATCCCAAGAAACTGCTGTTCTTGGAGCCTGAATGCACCAAATGAAGGTGCAATCAACACAGATTTCTACTCAGCCATCTGTGCAGTACAGAAACAAATGGGACTCTAGAGAAATTAATTTCATCTCCTCAAACCAAGATTTAGTACACTCCTTTAGAAAAAAAAATGCATTTATAGAGAAAACCCAACTCCAGAAATCATTTCAGTAAATGTCCAAGGCATAACAAGGAGCCATATTTGAAATGAAAACTCAGTCAAGTTCAGAGAGAAGATAAATAACTTTCAGAAGTTACCCATCTCAGCATATCAAGTTACATCTTGAATGGGGTTTTAACAAAGTTGGCTTGGCTCTATGTCTATACTCTTGATTATGTAGTAGCCTGCTTCAGCGGTAGGCATTATGGTATACCACTCCCATTTTTGTTTGGAAACTGAAAGCAACCGATGAGGATACAGTTCTTAAAAATAGTTCACAATCTGAATCATAAACATTTGTTGGGAAATGCTTTTTCTATGAAGTCCTCTCAAAATGTAGAAATTGCATCCGTTTCTTTTTATTATGAAGAAGAGGACTGATTTCTTTTAGATCTCTTACTGTGTGGTTTAAATAGAAAAGGATCCTTACTCTGAGCAGAGTAACAAAATGTCATAGACTTTAGTAGCATCATGGGACAGTCTACAGTGAACATCAGAGTTAAACATAGCTGGTCTAGCCTCGGTGGGGCAGCCAGTGGTACACTGCATTGCAGTGCTGGAAGTCACATGACCAGTCAGGAGTTCAGATCCCTGAATTGGCCTGAAAACTAAAAATCCACTGACCATGTGTAGGTGGACCCAAGATGCTGAGGAGCTGCAGGACTGGGGAGAGAGATCACAGTGTGACGAGACTTTCTCAAAGGTACTTCTTTCTTCCTCTCTCATATGTGCACACAGCTACTCACTATCATAAAAAAAAATCCTTTTTAAAATGCTCTGTTATGTATTCTAGTAATATTTATTGAGCAGATAGTATTTATTATTTACCTATTGAGAGGCCATCTGGTGATACAGTGGTAATGCCACTGGACCTACATGGGAAAGGTGCTAGGTTCAGAGCCTCAACCTGCCGGGGCATGCCAGGTACATACATGTGGTCCAGGGGTGCTGAGATGGGAGGAGCATTGTGATATGGGGGCCCTATTGGGGATGCCTGTCTCTGTCTCTTTTTCTGTCTCTCTCATGGAGGAGATAGATTTGTGGACTTTGAAAAAAATAAGATTTATCTCTTGAGCATTCAGTGATTTTTACATTTTACTAGTCATCTCTGTTTTTAAGCTATTTCTAGTCAAGAGAGGGAAATATGAAGGAAGCTGTCTCTCATGCATATTTCTAATGAATTTATATTTTGTCTACATTTTTGCTTTGTTTTCTATCAAATTATTGAAGTCCAGAAATTTTAGAAATTTTCTTCTTACTACGTAAAATAGTTTGTAGTCTACTTTTAGCAAAGAAAAATTGAGGGGGAAGCCCTGTAGCCTAGTGTTTAAGTACTGTGCATAAGGAGCCATGTCCCGCATGGCTGACCACGGTTTAGGTCCCAGCCCGCATGTTCCTACATGCTCAGACTCCTGAGGGGGTAAAGGCGAACCTCTCACAGGTCATAGGAGAAAAATGGCAGTGGAGTCGAGCGTTACCCAGGAGGAAATTAAGAAAGAGCCGGAAAAGCCAATAGATATAAGAAGACATGCTCTCTCTCGCTGCGGGTTTTTGGGTTTTCACCACCAGTAACAGTCGCTATCACCAAATGGACCAGTTTTCCCGGGAAAAGGTACCATCCAATGATCTGCAGATCTACACTTGGATGAATGCAACCTTGAAAGAACTGACCATTTAGTTAAAGAAGTCTACCCAGAAACTAGAAAGAAGGGCACATGCTTCAATTTTGCAATTGTTTTTACAGACCTTGAAAGACCTGGCTATTGAGTTAAGGAGATTGGCAGCACCATGTCCCGCAGAACAGGGACTGATGATCCCATGACCCTGTAGTTCACAGAAGTTCCAAATAGGAGCTTATGTGAACAAAGGATTACCCCTTCAAATCAGCCACCTCCTCCTTCGGGGCACATGAGACCATGTTAAACTCTATTTACCATAATTCTTTCAGTCAGTTAAGTAAAATAAATTTACATACCTGTTACCCTGATTATGGCCATTAAGCCTGTGAATCCTAAACCAATTGTAACGCATCTGTTTAGGAGTTAGGTTTGGATGTGCTGTGGTATGAACATTAACGGAAAGACTGTATGTTTCAGGCCCTTCTGTAAAATATAAAGAAGAGTGCTCTAAGCATCCTGTATAAAACTATATTGTTAAATATATGTGTGCAATCAAAAATAAATAAATAAATAAATAAAAAGAATCCTGAGGGGATAGAAAAATGGAAAGAAGGGGATTGTAGCACGACCACAATGGGGAATGGGGGAGCATTCTTCTCTTGCGTGTGCTCTCTCTCTCTCTCTCGCCAGTGTATGTGACTTCTAGCAATTAAAAAAAGAAAGAAAAAAGTGTTTAAGTTCAATGAGTATTGATTAATCCTGGTAAATTAGGGCCTAAGGGGATACCGATTGTTAATTTTATCAATGCTTTTTCTGATTTTTAAATTTCAGTCACATTTTTCTTCAGCCTTAATTAATCTAGGCTAGATTCAAAATTTTCTTTATTAAGCCATAAAGTTCTTATTTTATTTTATTTTAAATTTTACATCTATCCCCTTGACCTCATTATCTGTCATTCTCCCACTTTATTATTTCTTTATTGGCATAAGGAAGTATTTCATGGAGAAAAAAAGCTATTAATTAGTAGAAACTAAATTCATACCAAAATTAAAGGATTTTTTTTAAGTCACCTCTTTTTATTGCCTGGGGTAATTCCATTTTCTGCCTCTTACAACAGTACAAATAGTAATGACATCCAGTTTTACTTTTTTATTATGCTCACAGTTTAGACAAATTTTAGAGTCATCTAAAGGCATTATAAAGCTAATGATTGGGGCCAGCAGGTGGCATGGTGGTTAATGGTGCTGGATTCCCACATGGTCAACCACAGTTTGAGTCCCAGACCTGGCGGCTTGCTATCTCGCTTTCCCTTTCTCTCTCTCTCTCTGTCTCTGGTCAGATTAAAAAATAATAATAACAAATGGAATTAAATAAATAATTATTAGGGAAAAAAAGCTAGTGACTAAGTTAATTTTTTTTTATTTGCCAACAAATTCATGTACTAGAAATTCACTTACT